GACGGTGATAGGGAGCAATTGCATACGACGGCTCTCGCAATATATCTCAACCTAATGCAGATCCAGTTCAAATCTTAATTAATTATGAGTCCATCCATAATTACCGACTATGAACCGTTTATGATTACTATTTATATATCATGCATTGATTGCCATCACATACATATATAAATATCTATTGTAATCAAATTGACACTATCAATTCTATAATGAATCAAAATATAATACATTGAATTCACCAATTGTATAAAACATAAATATTTCAGAAACGTCAGGAACATATGTCACTTTAATCCAAACAGGAATTTGCTATGCCTAGGCATATAAATCCCAACAAATATATGAGAATATATATATATATATATATATAATGAAAAGTAGAACAGACAACTAGTGGTTTTAAATTTTCAATCACATAATCAAAGTGATATAACTACGATGGATAATCAAAGTCAATATACAAGCGTGCAAGAACCACTTTTGCTCCGATTGGGCTTCAAGACATGACGGGCCGGCAATATATATATATATATATATATATATATATATATATATATATATATATATACACACGTATATATAGTAACAGTACAATTCCAAAGATTTAAGTAGTTAGTATGTTATATTTAAATACTTTATAAAAGTTCAATAATAATATTTAAAGAAGAATAACCAAAGCCTGATGGTTTAATCTCCTCGTTCTCAAAGAAGAGGTGAGGGATTTGAGCTAAATATTCATTTTCTTAGTTTAAGGGAATAAAAAGAAGAAAAATATCACCCGGACCTACCCTCAACAAATGTGATGGGTTCCATAGCTCAGTGGTGGTAGTGGGAACCACCACCCTTAGGAGTGATCCGTGCCTAAGATCCAGAAAATAATGTTATTTACACTTAATAACATAGCAGAGAGTAGAAATATTAATTTTTTAATGAATTGGAGGAAGAGTAATCAATATAATACTTCCGTCACTATATCTTTAATATATTTCATTTTGGATAATACTTAAATTTGGTGGGATGTGAATTAATGACAAATGAAGTAATATATAAGAATATATATAATATATATATTATAATTCATTTTTTTGATTTGATAATTATATTTTTTTATATATATTCTTATATATTACTTTTATCTTATATTTAAATAATTATTTCAAAAATAATGAGTCAAATTTTTTGAAATAGATATCTAATAATGAATGGAGGTAGAATATATTTTCAATAATTTCACTCATGTAGGGGCAAGATTGTAGTGTTTATATATATAAGTTAAATAAATATTTATTTATTTACTTGTGGGGCCCGCATGAGTTTTAAGTCAATGACTTAAGAGTCATTGTATAGCCTTTTATTCTGCTCTCTCTCTCTCTGTGTCCAGACTTTTTTTTTTTTTTTTTTGCAATTTCAAGCTTTGATCTAGCTCTATCCCTTTGAAATTTGGTAGAACCTTGTGAAGCAAAGTCGGAGAGCTTGTCAAGGCCTTCAATTTGATAGGAGCCAATCATCATTTGGTGCACTCTAGGGAGTTCAAAATTCTAGGGTTCTTGGGCTTGGATTTGGGGATTTTGGGAGTTTTCACTTCCATTGAGGTAGGGGTGTTCTAATCTACAATTTCTTAGTTTTTTTGTGAATTTTTCTCCTTAAATTTGATCCTATGCATGCTAATTTTGATTATCTAGTTTGTGGTTGAAGTATGTTTAATTAAAATGCTAAATGTGTTCCATGTGTTATTTGAATTCATATATATGACTAGATTTATTACGGTGATTGAGCATGTTTGGTGTTGACATATTGTATGTCCCAAGATTATGTATTTTATTTATTTATTTATTGCTTTGAAAGAAAATGATGCTATGGTCAATAAATAAATAAAAGAAATGATTGCTTAGAAATTTCTATTAAATTGTGATAATGATGTAAATGAAATGTGTGAGAACCTATGGTTGAATTGATAAATCGAAACATGCACATTCATGCATTCATTGGGAAAATGAAATTATTTTGAGGAAAATATTTTTTTAAAGGAGTTTGCGAAAATCGGACGCCTAGGAGGCGCCTAGTGGTCCGTGGTGTTAGTGTAGTCTAGAAGGGATCATGGTTGAGCTAACTAGGCCGGATGCGACGCCTTGGAGGTGCCTTGTGGTTGTGGATAGTTAGTCAACCCTCCATTCGTGACGCCTTGGAGGTGTCTTGGGTCGGATTACACTAACGGTTTTGGAAGTTGAAACGGAAATGTTTCGGAAAATGGGGAGTAACATTTGCATATTACACTTCATGACATTGTGGTTAACTTGTGATTGGGTGGTATTTGTTACATACTTGTTATTGTATTTGAGAGTGTGTGTTTCCTTATAGCATGATCCCTTTCACTTTTTATCTATTCATTGTATGGATTCACGGGGATATAAGAAGTGTGTCTTAGACACTTCCTACTGAGCTTATGCTCACCTTATTATTTCTAACATTTTTCAGGACATGGAAAAGAGGTGGCGGACGACGATCCACCACGATTCTAGACTAGCACGGAGACCTATTTTTATTTTTTTGTTATCTTTTGTATTAAAACTCTCTAATATTTTGTAAATGTAATATTAACTAACTCTTAAAACTTTAGTTTAATTAGTATAATGTTGTAAGCCATGGACTTTTAAATTCTAACTACGCTTTTTGGACTGTAACTTGATGTAACCAAAGTATGTTCCTTGTTGGATGAGATAAAGGAATGAGATTTTGTATGTATGTAGTCACTTTGGAGATGTGATATAATATATGTATATTGCGTTGGGACAGGATATGTTAGATTTAAGACCCAGTGAGGCCATTGTATTTATTTTTTTTTTTTTGTATTTCAACAGGTTGTTTAGAGACATTTTCTGCGGAGGTCATGCCGAAATTTTTTATAGATTTTTATTATTATTTTGGTATCCTTTTGGGTCGTTACAAAGATGATCCAAATCTCTATAAATTTATTATTGATATATTGGATACTCCTTTATGTTCATTTTTTTTTATCCCTCGGTAACAAGCCATGCTACGCAGCTGTTCTCATGTGACCCACATGCACTTATTTCACTCCCCGTTGATTACATCCACATGTAAGCCACTACCACAAATATGTGTGTGTGTGTGTGTGTGTGTGTGTGTGTGTATATATATATATATATATATATATATAGACACTGTGTCATACTGTCATGCATGATGCAAAAGTCCAACAACTAAAATTATCAGAATAACTTCCCCAGACCCCATTCCTGATTTCATGGAGGTCAAAATGAGTAGATCCATCTATTAAAATTTTCAAGTCTTTGTTGAGGTTTTATCTTTAATAGTACCGTTGTAGGATTGAAATATTTCCTTCCTGATTTAGAGTTAATTGATAGGTAATTAGTTACTTATTTTAGTTAGGTCCTATTCTATAAATTGGATGTAACACCATGAGTAAAAGGGATTGAATAGAGTTTTTAATTTTCATATTCTTTCTCTAAATTTCAAGATGGTATCAGAGCCCAGGTTGAACCGTACTTTTGAATCTCTTTGAATTTATTTTTTATTTTTAAAATTCTTTGACCGATACACATACGCATACATTCATACCCCATACCCATATAAACAGACCCATCACTGTTCTCACCGTCGACAAACATCGCTGGATCTGTCAGCCGCTGCGCATCCGAGCACATCGCCGGATCTCCATCTCGGCCTAAGTCGATCTCATCCCAAGCCGAAGCCGATCTCTGCCGAGATTGATTCCGATTGTCGGTCCCGCCGATCTCCTCGGTCACATATAGAGCCCACTACTCTCTACCATCCGCAGTCGCCATTCAAAAAGCCGCCGTTGCCGTCAGTTTGTCAGGCCGAGCCCGTGCTTCGCCTGTTCATTCTACCATCGTTCATAAACGGACCGTCCACAGCCGAGTTTTTCAAGGAGAAGACGATGCTGCTCGTTGCCATCATAAACCACTACCGTCGCCGGATCTTTCTACCGTCGCCGGTTCTCTCTGCAGTTGCAGCCATCCAGATTCCAGTTGAATCTGTTATTTTGCATTTTTTGTTATTTTGTTTTCATTTACATATATATATATATATATATACACAAAAAAAAAAAAAAATCAAAACCCTCTATTTGGCTACAAGTGTAATACTATTCCATTTCTGGATTAGTTCAAAACTAAACCAATTTTGTTACCTTCTTTGAAAAACTGGTTCTGTGATAAACCAGTTCAAAAAAAAAAAAAAAAAAAATTGGATGAAAAAAAATATTGAATTATCTGGAGCAGACAAATCTACCAACAAACACTACAAGAAAATTGACTTTTACAAGAAGCCATTTGTGTTGTAAAAAGTAATTTACAACATACAAGTAGTATGTTGTTGAATCCCTTGTTGTAAAAAGTACCTCGTTTTTATAAGATGTGAGACACCTTGTAAAAAAGAAGGATACCCCTTGTAAAAGTATTATCTACAACATTCCTTGGTATGTTGTAAATAGTTTCTATATTCACAAGGTGTTTTGCATGTTGTAAATAGTATTTTCAACAAGGTTTCTAGCCTTTTGTAAATAGCCCAACAAACAATTACGAGATTTATATGTTTATTGTAATTGCACTATTCACAAGGTCCTATGTCACATTGTAATTATCTTAGATGGATATTTACAAGGCTCACTTGCATGTTGTAATTTTTTCTTTTTTAAAAAATAAAAATAAAAAAAAAAACTAATTTCGCCCATTATTTTCCTCCTATACAAACTTTAACCTTTAACACGATAATAGTAATTGAGAAAACCAATCAAATAACCATACATAAGCATAACAAACAACAAAATACATGATACACAAAAAAAATTAAAAAAAAAATTTCTTAAACATGTACTTCACATTAATGCAAACAATTAACAATTTAAATTTTAATTCAAGATCAATTACAATGAAAATCAATATCTCAAATTACAACAATATATATATATATATATATATATATATATATATATATATATATATATAGTCAGCTAAAATCATGTCGAGTGTTTCTGGAACTTATTAGCTGGTCTTCTTATGCAACCACGACCTTCAAGAGCTTTAAAATGGGTGATCATGTTCATGCAAAAAGAATGATATAATAATTCAACCAACTTAATATAATATAAAAAAATTTCCAAAGAAGTTCGATCATCAACTTGATATAACATAGTCAACATATATGTTTATAATCAACATATTACTAATACTGCAATAGATTTCCTCAATCACATACTGCAACAAGTGTGTGTGCTTCCTTTAATCTCCTACAGCCACCTTAATTTTTGGATTCTCAACTTTTCAAACATAAATAATAATAATAATAATAATAATACAATATACTAATTAATAATAATAAAAAGGTCATTAGCCTTTTTTTCTTTCATTTTTTTTTTTTTTTTTTTTTTTTTTTTTTTTTTTTTTTTGTTAATCTAAGATGTTAAGAGAGTGAACTAGATTAAAATATATGTATCCTAATATGTTTGGATCATAAGTTTCTGTACAAGACTTAATAGATGTGGGAAGAGCTATAGACTTGGGTGGATTAATTATGTGAGGCCTGACCTCAAGCATGATGAGTTCACACCCCATGAAGAACAGCTTACGTGATACCCCCAGATTTTCGAATGCGGGGCCCATGCCCGATTACCCGAGGATATTAAACCAATTAGCAATAATCGAACACAGAATAATTATATCAAAAGAGATAAATAAAATTTGCTGAAATGAAAACTAAAAGAGTAATCCAATATTTGAAACCTCAGAATAAATAACTCCATTGATAAATAAGATATTTCAGATACAACTGATTCACCACGAACACATATCGTTCTCCAACTTATACAACTTGGGAATCCATCCAGTGGACCCCTAAAATAACCCACTGAACTCAAAAGACTGGAAACAAAACCCAAGTCTAAACACAAAATATATTCCAATGTCATCGGTGGAGTGAACAACTATATCTGCTCAGCACGATTAAGCTCTGCAGCCTGGAACTGATGAACACCTGTAAAGAATAATAGAAGAGTGGGTTAGGCCCACAAGCAAGTTCTAATCTAGCTGTAATCCATACAGTGACCCGATACGCAGATACATCGTAGATACCTCACAATATCTATCTAGTCCATACATATATATATCCACACTATGGGACATTCACTGAACTACAATAGGGGTCTCAACCTGAATAGAAGGCAACATGCGAAAACGCACCCAAAGGTGGGCATGAGTACCTAGACCTAACAGGGTACACCTCAACCTACTATAGCTAGCTACGCATCCACTGCATATATACGTCCTAACCAACGAGTCTGAGACTCAAGCTCATCTCGTGGTACCATAACCATATATTTAAAGTCCATTCAAATCCATCCATAGGAACTCCAATAAATCGTTCAGCTTATTCAGCTGCACAGACTTATATAAGAGATCCAGTAAGTTGTTCAGTTTATTCAACTACACAGACTTAAATATAAGGAGAATTATGTTTTTATAATTCGTACCCTTCTTCCCAAAATAGGTAGGACTGAGTATTTTGAATCAGTCTGTCCCTAGTATGTCACCGTCCCATACCGGTACATACAATCCACAAAATCCACCGTCCCATACCGGTACATACAATCCACAAAATCCATATAATTGATAGAACAGGCAAAGCTGTTCACCAATTAAAATCCATAAGGTAGGAATTAGCATTTTGAGCTAAACCATACCTAGTATGCCACTGTCCCATACCGGTGCATACAATCCTCCATATCCATGTAAATTACAACATTCAAATGATAAGCAAGTAATTTAGAATGCAAAACCAAACCCAGATAATTGACAGAATTTTAATGTGAGAATTCAGCAATTAAAATCCAATACATAATTCCAAATAATTGGCCAAATTTAATATAAGAATTCAGCAATTATAATCCAATATATGATTCCAAATAATTGACCGAATTAAGTATAAGAATTCAACAATTATGTTCCAATACATAATTCCAGGTAAATTACAAGGCATAAATAATAAGCACGTAATTTATAGTCCAAAACCAACCATCCATATCATTGCAAAATAGTATTTAGTATTTCAACAACGTAAAACCAAGCATTAATCCATGTAAAGTTTAATATTCCAACAACCACCTCCAAAACCATAATCCAACTCCAAGCCAAAATCCAGTTAATTGCTTAACTGTGTGTATATTACCCCAATTAAATCCTACAATACCATTCCGTTCAAAACCATGCAAACTACAGATTTATAACAGAGTAGTTTAGTAACCAAAATCTGAAACATGCATAGGACCAACTCTGTTCACTAGAAGACCCTAATATGCATTTAAAACAAGTTTTAAATTCATGCTATACTAATTAAATCACTAATTTAGAATTAGGTAATTTAAATCTTTTCCATCCGTTAATCGCATGCAAAATAGGTTTAATTCCGTATTATGCATTTTACTTGTCTACCTGTATAAACCACGCACGGAGAACCATTAAGAACACCCAAGTGACATGTTAAACACCTCAGTTTACTTCCAACTCAGTCCCAGACTCACAACCCTCCAACAGTAACAGGTAATTCGTAATAAAAAAAAAAAAATCAAAAATGAAATTCCAAGAGAGCCTGCTCAATTTTTGGAAAGAGCAGGCTCTTTTAGAGCCTTGAGCCAGCTCCATTACTTCATAGAGCAGGCCCTTTACCTAGAAAAGATGAGGGAGCCAGCTCCCTCATTCCATGGAGCCGGCTCTCTCCCCTTCTAAGAGCCGTCTCCAACCTCTGCAATTCCTGCGACTCTCTGCTTTGCTTTCGGTCACTTTCCACCTCTACCAGCCTTTCTATTTGGCTTTAAAACAAATCCTAATAGTCTTAATAACACCCAATAACATCTCAATGGTTTGTTTACAGTTCGTTGGAATCAATTACAGAGATTGGACTTTCAACAGTTTTAATAGGTATACAGAACCAACACTGAACCCAGATTTGCAACTACTGTAACAGAGTTATTTTAACACATATAGATTATCAAAATATCATATAATAAACATGTATTCTCAATTAACAATGAATTAAACCCTAGAGAACATCTAGGTGCACAGAACACAGGTCAGGGGAAAGAGGAAGAAAAGAACTCGCCTTTACAATTTTGGATGAAACCATGTCGCCGTCTTTCTAAGTTTTTCCGGCGATCTCGACTGCCGTCAAGGACTCTCCTACTCCGGTTCTAACCCTCGAATAGCCCTCAACCATCATCCTTGGTCCAGCCCAAATCCCTTGTGCCAAAACCTTCATCCCCTTTTCTTTAAACTCTCTGTTTTTCTCTCTAACTTATAGGTACGTGCAAACAGTTTTGCTAACCCTAACAGACCACTTTATTCTCTATATATATGCTAGAACAGAACCCCGTCCATATATAATTAGAGTAAAACCCTAATTAAATCCTAGTCGGCCCATAGAGCAACCTAGGTAACAATACTCAGCCGCCTATACTTGAATTGCTATCAAAACTATAATTGAACTTAAATAAACTAACTTAATTTTAATTAAACTAAATAAAGAATAACACAATTAATTAAAATAAACAAACAAATAAAGAATTACACCTTTAATTAAAATAAACAAACAATTAAAAAATAACACAATGAATTAAAATAAACAAACAATTAGACACATAAGCATATAGATACAAAATCAATTTAAAATGCACAAAAATAAAATTTAAATTCCATTTTATACCCTTTTGAAATTAGGGGTATTACAGCTTATTCTTGAGTTTCATAAAGCTATAGGAAGCAGGTGGGTATCTCTTTCTATATGTGTGTGGGTGTGTGTGTTTTTGGTTCTCCCATTTATTTTATTTTTTTATGGGGTGTTATGTTATTTGTTTGTCAACATTTTATTGAATTCAGAGGAACTAGAAGTGAAATCTTGGAAATACAAAAGCCCTGCCCAGATTTATTTTCAGTTTTCGAAAATAATTTTCAGAGAATAAAAATAGAAAATAATTTTTAAATTTTAAATTTTGATTAATTGAAAAAACTACAAAACTATTTTTAGAGAACAAAAACTCAGATATTTGTTTGGTTTTTTACCTACTAAAAAAAAAAAATTGACCTAAGAAAATTACACACCATTTATTTATTTATTTATTTTTGAGATGTTAACTTATACAATAAATTTTTTTATTATTATTCTGGCAAACTAGGGGGGAGGAGACTCGAACACGGGCACACCCATTCGAGAAACTAAATAATCAATCTACCATAGGCGCACCCGTTCAAGAAATTAGGCACTCTACCGACTAGGCTACTAAGTGATGACTAAAAAAAAGAGGTACATTATTAGGATGCGCATATATTGTGTTGCAAACTTGAACCTCTCTTCTATTTTGGGGCTTCTTCCATTCATAACATTAAATGAATATAGTGTTTACGTACATAATTGCGTGTAGTTTTTTTGTTTCCTTGAAAGGACAAACTAAACACTTTGCTAGCTTATAACTGGTAGCAAATTTTCTTTTTAAAGCTCATATAACAATCAAGGGAATTCCCAAAAATAGCCTACAAAGGGCATTTCCCCAAAAAAATAAATACAACTCATGAAAACTGTAATACCCCTAATTTTAAAAAGGATATTCCTGGTATTTAATGGTATTTAATTTATTATTTAAGTGCATTTTATTTGATTATGTGTCATTATTTTTTTTATTAGGTGCTTAATTGTTTTCTTTTGTGGTGATTTAATTTATTTAAATGATATTTATTTTTAGTTATTTGATTGGAATTACTTGTTAGTGTTTTAATTATTTAATTCGCATTAATGGTTTAAGTGTAATTGGTTTAGTTATTTGATTGGATTTACTTGTTAGTGTTTTAATTATTTAATTGGCATTAATGGTTTAAGTGTAATTGGTTTAATTATTCTATGTGTGTCTTATTTTATGTGTGTCTTATTTGGTTTAATTGGGTTTACTAATTATTATTTTGTTCAATTAGATTATTTGTTAAGTTAGGGTAATTAGGTAAATACATCTAACTAGGGTTTTAATTACAGTATAAATTAGGGTTTTATATTATAGCCGTCGTAGGTTTCTACGTTAATTGGATGGGCCGGTTAGAATTGTGAGTTGGACTTAAATGAACCTAGGGTTTAGGAAAACTCTATAAGTATAAGGTAGACGTCTGTGTAGGGTTTTTTTAAACAAAGCACACGTTTTGTGAAAGTGGAGAAGGAAAAACGCAGTTTTTCACATTCTGCCAAGGTTTAATCAAAGCTCCGATCCCGCTTCGTCCGTGGTCCGATCGAGCTGAATTTTGGAGGAGAGGTTCATGACTCAGTGACGCACAATCTGAACGGTGAAGATCAGAGTTTGACCTCGGGAATAGTGATTCGTACTCGTGAACAGTAACTGGGTCGCACGGGTTTTTTTTCCATTCTGCCCAGATTTCATCAAACATTCGATCCCGCTTCGTCCGTGGTCCGATCGAGCTGAAATTTGGAGGATAGGTTCATGACTCAGTGTCGCACAATCTAAACGGTGAAGATCAGATTTTGAGTTCAGGAATAGTGTTTCGTACCCGTGAACAGTAACCGGGTTTTGGAACTCGCCGGGATTTTTAAGAAGACGACGTTGAAACTTTGAACAAAAGTTTCTGTGGCAAGATTCTATCCTTACTCTTTCCCTTAGGCTTCATACTCTTTGCACTCTTAAATGATTCCAGGATTAATGAAGATTAAACCAAACTAAAATGATATCTGTTTTGCTATGAAACTGGTAGTTACAGTAGTGTTGTATGCTTGTTCAACCTAGACTAAGCATGTTTGTGGATGCATTGTGGTTCTGTGGTTCACGTTTTTCCTTACCACTGCTAGTATAAATTATTGGAAGGATGGGTCTAGATGATAGCTATCTTAACTTCTGTAATAACAACTGTTGGAACTTAAATACTAGGAGGATTTGAGTTTAACACTAGATCGGTTTTGTGGAACACTATAATTTGAGCATGTCTACATAC